CCATCACCCTTGAAGTCGTAGAATTTGAGGTTGTCAGTCCCTCGGCCTCTTGGTACAGAAAACGCCTTAGACAACCCTTTCAAGTGAGAACTGTTGGATCTGAGAGGGACCTGACATCTCAGTGGCTACATTCTCACTACTACTACTACTACTCTGCACCTCTCCTTCCGACAGTATTTAAGTCTCCGCACTGTCGCTTGATCTTCAGATAGTTCCTGACTATGGAACTGAACTTCTCCAGGCCGAGGGACTGACAACCTCAAATTCTACGACTTCAAGGGTGATGGACTGACTACATCGTCTTCACATCTCTACTGTTCCTGCCTACTTTCTGTATTCGACTGAAGAAGCCTACTGTGTAGGCGAAACGTTTCGGAATAAAGTTGCCTAACTGTTGCCTATGTGTCTTACCTACCAGAGGTATGATAAAGCTCACGGCTCAGGGAGAGTGACCTAGTAGCGATCAGTGAAGAGGCGGGGCCAGGAGCTCGGACTCGACCCCCGCAACCTCAACTAGGTGAGTACTAGGTGAGTACACACACACACACACACACACACACACACACACACACACACACACACACAGAGGGATGATAAAGCTCACGGTTCAGGGAGAGTGACCTTGTAGCGACCAGTGAAGAGGCGGGGCCAGGAGCTAGGAGTCGACCCCCGCAACCTAAACTAGGTGAGTACAACTAGGTGAGTGCACACACCCACACACACACACCACACACCCACACACACACACACACCCACACACACACACACACACACACACACACAAAATCCACAAACCTCTCCCATCCACAGTCTACATCATAACCCCGTCAAACCTAACCCCAAGCACCCCTCCTCTCCTACGATACCCTACCCAACATTTGCACCGATAACAGTTTCGCACACCATCCCACTTTCGCACACCTTCCTACTCTCGCACACCTTCCCACTTTCGCACACCTCCCCACTTTCGCACACCTTCCCACTTTCGCACACCTTCCCACTTTCGCACACCTCCCCACTTTCGCACACCTCCCCACTTTCGCACACCTCCCCACTTTCGTACCCCTCCCCATTTTCATACACCACACACCGCCCCACTTTCGCACACCTTCCCACTTTCGTACCCCTCCCCACTTTCGTACACCACACACCGCCCCACTTTGATATACCGCCACCCCTTCCTCCTTTCTACCGAGTCCTGACACACAATTAACACTGCAAAACAATTAACCATGATATACAATAGAGGCGTGGTACGTAATTTACCTTACGACATCAAGGAAGGTTAATACTTAGTATAATTGTTAAATAGTAGTGAGGTAGCGTTATGACTGATAGTGTTCTTGCTGACAGATAACTTGAGAGTAGTGTGGTAGTGTTCCTGCTGATAGATAACTTGAGAGTAGTGTGGTAGTGTTCCTGCTGATAGATAACTTGAGGGTAGTGTGGTAGTGTTCCTGCTGATAGATAACTTGAGAGTAGTGTGGTAGTGTTCTTGCTGATAGATAACTTGAGAGTAGTGTGGTAGTGTTCTTGCTGATAGATAACCTGAGAGTAGTGTGGTAGTGTTCTTGCTGATAGATAACCTGAGAGTAGTGTGGTAGTGTTCTTGCTGATAGATAACCTGAGAGTAGTGTGGTAGTGTTCTTGCTGATAGATAACTTGAGAGTAGTGTGGTAGTGTTCTTGCTGATAGATAACTCGAGAGTAGTGTGGTAGTGTTCCTGATAGATAACTTGAGAGTAGTGTGGTAGTGTTCCTACTGATAGATTGCTTGAGAGTAGTGTGGTAGTGTTCTTGCTGATAGATAACTCGAGAGTAGTGTGGTAGTGTTCCTGATAGATAACTTGAGAGTAGTGTGGTAGTGTTCCTACTGATAGATAACTTGAGAGTAGTGTGGTAGTGTTCCTACTGATAGATAACTTGAGAGTAGTGTGGTAGTGTTCCTGCTGATAGATAACTTGAGAGTAGTGTGGTAGTGTTCCTGCTGATAGATAACTCGAGAGTAGTGTGGTAGTGTTCCTGATAGATAACTTGAGAGTAGTGTGGTAGTGTTCCTACTGATAGATAACTTGAGAGTAGTGTGGTAGTGTTCCTACTGATAGATAACTTGAGAGTAGTGTGGTAGTGTTCCTACTGATAGATAACTTGAGAGTAGTGTGGTAGTGTTCCTACTGATAGATAACTTGAGAGTAGTGTGGTAGTGTTCCTACTGATAGATAACTTGAGAGTAGTGTGGTAGTGTTCCTACTGATAGATAACTTGAGAGTAGTGTGGTAGTGTTCCTACTGATAGATAACTTGAGAGTAGTGTGGTAGTGTTCTTGCTGATAACTTGAGAGTACTGAAGTACTCATAAGATGAAGTTATAACTAAAGTAACGAAATTTGTGTGTGTGTGTGTGTGTGTGTGTGTGTGTGTGTGTGTGTGTGTGTGTGTGTGTGTGTGTGTGTATGTGTGTATGTGTGTATGTGTGTGTGTGTCTGTATGTGTGTATGTGTGTATGTGTGTGTGTGTGTCTGTGTGTGTCTGTGTCTCTGTGCCTGTGTCTTCTCTATCTCTAAGCAATCTGTCTGTCTGCCTGTCTGTTTCTCTCTCATTTTTTACTCGTATGCATTCCTCCATGATCGTCTTCTATCAGACTGTGTCTTTCTGCTTGTCTGAGTCTGTCCACTGCAGACTCCATCACCATCTCAAAACTTTCGTTCTGACGTCATAAGCATGGAGAGGAGGGACCAATCACCAGTGCCTCTGAGTCATTCCCTCCTCCAATCACCTTTCAGACTCGTCAAACTGCGGGAATTTAAGGAGATAACATTTAAATATGCAAATTGAAACTCTTAAAAAGGTCGATCCAAAAAAAATTTACTTCAAATGATTTTCTTCCCCAGATCTGACTGAGGGACATTAAATATAGAAGGTACGATAAGAAAACAATGTATTCCAGGGGATTGGAAGTAAATTTTGACGATATTACCTTAAACGCAAATCGACTTGTCGATTTCATGTTTTCGAATTGAATGGAGAGGAAATAGGGCGCAGATAGACTGAGATTTAGATATTCTGAGTAATTTTACATACGAAGAGGATAGATGTATACTATTACTCCTATTGATCACTCAGAACTGCTTTGAAAGGGGTTGTATAAGTAAGAGCTACAACAGTTGAGGGTTTTGAAATTTGAAAGGAGAGTCAAAACTGGTGCAATAGATTAGTTTCACTTAAAATTTAAGCTGGGACTTCGGGAAATTAGAGCAGAGTGAACACGTCATGGAATCCAAGATGTCAGCAGTGAAAGCAGCGTCCTGTCCATTAATAGATAGTAAATTGATAGTGCCACCTGGTAGTCCTCTCACAGGCTCACCCGGCGTCCCTCCATGAGGTGAGACGGTCTGTAATAATAATAATAATAATAATAATAATAATAATAATAATAATAATAATAATAATAATAATGATCTTTATTTCTACAAGTACATGTACAACACAGAGACATAGCTGACATCAGTGACGTAAAATAGAGAAAGCCCCTGGTACCTAATTACTGCTAGGCGAACAGGGACAGTAGGTGTCTTCAGGAATCACTCCCTAATGTTTCCACCCGTACCGGGGATCGAACAACGGACCTCACTGGTCTCTCTTCCATGGAGTGGATTGACATAACCAACACAACACTGTTTTCATAATGAACACTAGAGAAGGGCTAACATAATGAACACTAGATAAGGGCTAACATAATGAACACTAGAGAAGGCTAACATAATGAACACTAGAGAAGGGCTAACATAATGAACACTAGAGAAGGGCTAACATAATGAACACTAGAGAAGGGCTAACATAATGAACACTAGAGAAGGGCTAACATAATGAACACTAGAGAAGGGCTAACATAATGAACACTAGAGAAGGGCTAACATAATGAACACTAGAGAAGGGCTAACATAATGAACACTAGAGAAGGGCTAACATAATGAACACTAGAGAAGGGCTAACTGGTGATCCCTCTCTCGCTTCGTCAAGGACCATTCCTTGGGAAAAAAAATTCTCTGCTAACGAAACCTTAAATTAAGCAATGGGAGAGGTAAGAACATACGAGCATAAGAAAGAAGGAGCACTGCAGCATGTCTACTGGCCCATGCTAACCAGGTCCAAGTAGAGATAAAACGATTCGATCAAATGTGAGGGTAACTTTAATTCCACGGATCAAGAACCCTTCTCACTATCACAGTACTCATCCCACATCGTTCGTAGCAGAATACACAGTACCATAGAAAAACTTCACGGTATCAATATTATATTCTCATATTAACAGTAAACTTCAATGAATCACAATGGCTACATCAAGGCTACAATGGAATTATATTTTGCCTCCGTAGCGGCTAGTTTATTGTACACCCCTTAACCATCCTATGGACGACAGCGCAAGAGCATATGGATACGTAAAAGGCCTGGGAACTAGGCACCAATGAAGTTAACAGGAGCATATCTGGATATATACATGTCTACAATTTACGTTGCATCTGTTTCCTGCAAATTTGGGATGTTCGCTTTAAATATCCGGTATGTAATTTTCATTAATAAGATACCATGACTTAGCACGTAGGTTATAATTCAGTCCTTGTATATCTCATTGAGTGGACAGTCACATATATATACGTTACAGACGCGAGAAATGAAGAGTCATTAATGTACCTTCTCTGTGTCACCCACAACAATGGAAGACTTCCTTCTATCCCTTCCACATGACAGATGAACAGACTTATCAAACAATGTTGAGGACCGTAAATCATTAGATGAAGAGAGGGACGAGAACCTTGGTAACTTGTTGTAAGACAGAGAGAGAGAGAGAGAGAGAGAGAGAGAGAGAGAGAGAGAGAGAGGGAGGGGGGGAGGAAGGGAGGGGAAAAATCGAAGAAAAAAGAAGGCATTAGGAGAGGTGAGTGATTGTGGGAGGCAGCCACGACACTTGGTGATCAATGTTGACTCTTCATCATAGTAATACATGAGTTCCTCCCTCGTCAGTCTCGCCCAGATAAAACTTACAGGTTAGATAGATGAGCAGCTGCTGCTGTTACTGCTCCTGGTGGTGGTGGTGGCAGTGGTGGTACAGTGGTGGTGGCAGTGGTGGTACAGTGGTGGTGGCAGTGGTGGTACAGTGGTGCTAGCAGTGGTGGTACAGTGGTGCTGGCAGTGGTGGTACAGTGGTGCTGGCAGTGGTGGTACAGTGGTGGTGGCAGTGGTGGTACAGGGGTGGAGGCAGTGGTGGTACAGTGGTGCTGGCAGTGGTGGTACAGTGGTGGTGGCAGTGGTGGTACAGTGGTGGTGGCAGTGGTGGTACAGTGGTGGTGGCAGTGGTGGTACAGTGGTGCTGGCAGTGTGGTACAGTGGTGCTGGCAGTGTGGTACAGTGGTGCTGGCAGTTGGTGGTACAGTGTGCTGGCAGTGGTGGTACAGTGGTGCTGGCAGTGGTGGTAAAGTGGTGCTGGCAGTGGTGGTACAGTGGTGCTGGCAGTGGTGGTACAGTGGTGCTGGCAGTGGTGGTACAGTGGTGCTGGCAGTGGTGGTACAGTGGTGCTGGCAGTGGTGGTACAGTGGTGGAGGCAGTGGTGGTACGTGGTGCTGGCAGTGGTGGTACGTGGTGCTGGCAGTGGTGGTACAGTGGTGGTGGCAGTGGGGTACAGTGGTGGCTGGCAGTGGTGGTACAGTGGTGCTGGCAGTGGTGGTACAGTGGTGCTGGCAGTGGTGTACAGTGGTGCTGGCAGTGTGTGGTACAGTGGTGCTGCAGTGGTGGTACAGTGGTGGAGGCAGTGGTGGTACAGTGGTGGTGGCAGTGGTGGGTACAGTGGTGGAGGCAGTGGTGGTACAGTGGTGGAGGCAGTGGTTGTACAGTGGTGGAAGTAGTGGTGGTACAGTGGTGGAGGCAGTGGTGGTACAGTGGTGGAGGCAGTGGTGGTACAGTGGTGGAGGCAGTGGTGGTACAGTGGTGGAGGCAGTGGTGGTACAGTGGTGGAGGCAGTGGTGGTACAGTGGTGCTGGCAGTGGTGGTACAGCGGTGCTGGCAGTGGTGGTACAGTGGTGGAGGCAGTGGTGGTACAGTGGTGGGGGCAGTTGTGGTACAGTGGTGGAGGCAGTGGTGGTACAGTGGTGCTGGCAGTGGTGGTACAGTGGTGCTGGCAGTGGTGGTACAGTGGTGCTGGTAGTGGTGGTACAGTGTTGGTGGCAGTGGTGGTACAGTGGAGGCAGTGGTGGTACAGTGAAGGCAGTGGTGGTACAGTGGTGGTACAGTGGTGGAGGCAGTGGTGGTACAGTGGTGGAGGCAGTGGTGGTACAGTGGTGGAGGCAGTGGTGGTACAGTGGTGCTGGCAGTGGTGGTACAGTGGTGCTGGCAGTGGTGGTACAGTTGTGGTGGCAGTGGTGGTACAGTGGTGGAGGCAGTGGTGGTACAGTGGTGCTGGCAGTGGTGGTACAGTGGTGCTGGCAGTGGTGGTACAGTGGTGGAGGCAGTGGTGGTACAGTGGTGGTGGCATTGGTGGTACAGTGGTGGAGGCAGTGGTGGTACAGTGGTGGTACAGTGGTGGAGGCAGTGGTGGTACAGTGGTGCTGGCAGTGGTGGTACAGTGTTGCTGGCAGTGGTGGTACAGTGGTGGTGGCAGTGGTGGTACAGTGGTGGAGGCAGTGGTGGTACAGTGGTGGTACAGTGGTGGAGGCAGTGGTGGTACAGTGGTGGAGGCAGTGGTGGTACAGTGGTGGTACAGTGGTGCTGGCAGTGGTGGTACAGTGGTGGTGGTAGTGGTAGTACAGTTGTGGTGGCAGTGGTGGTACAGTGGTGGAGGCAGTGGTGGTACAGTGGTGCTGGCAGTGGTGGTACAGTGGTGCTGGCAGTGGTGGTACAGTGGTGGTGGCATTGGTGGTACAGTGGTGGAGGCAGTGGTGGTACAGTGGTGCTGGCAGTGGTGGTACAGTGGTGCTGGCAGTGGTGGTACAGTGGTGGAGGCAGTGGTGGTACAGTGGTGGAGGCAGTGGTGGTACAGTGTTGGAGGCAGTGGTGGTACTGTGGTGCTGGCAGTGGTGGTACAGTGGTGCTGGCAGTGGTAGTATGGTGGAAGTGGCAGTGGTAGTACGGTGGAAGTGGCAGTACAGTGGTAATGAGTGTTCAGATGGCGTTATTAATGTTATTGAATAACAGTTATGAGAAGAAGACCATATAAGTATTATTATGAGAAGAAGAGGAGGAGGAGGAGGAGGAGGAAGAGGATGAGGAGGAGGAGGAGGAGGAGGAATCAATACTGTAACTATGATATACAGCGTTCATTAGAGAACAATTTATTGGACAGAATTTAAGTAATTAACCCTTAGTACCATATTTCATTGTTCTTCTTATACCGAGAGTCTTAACTCAGTATAGTACAGTGTTAACAGACGCTTTTTAATATGACGGAAGGTAGACACACACACACACACACACACACACACACACACACACACAAAGTAACACACACAACAAGTCAAGTGTTTAATCAACAAGTGCTTATGAGAAAACAGTAACTTACACACTAAAACGTAAGGAACAGGCGATGTTTTAACATGTAATACAACCACTGTGAAAAGTAGTAATATTTAAGTCGCTTTCGTGATTTCTCACATTTTCAAGGATTAGTAAAATATAATATAACAATGATAATAATCTTTATTTCTGCAATTACATGTACAAGGTATACAGGCCTAGCTGAAATCAGTGACATACTACCATATATAGAAATCCGCTTGTTATGCAGAGCATTTCGGGCAAATTAGAACAGTTTTGTCCCAGGATGCGACCCACACCAGTCGACTAACGCCCAGGTATCCATTATTACTGATAAGTGAGCATAGACAATAGGTGTAAGAAAACACGCCGAATGTTTCCACCCCTTCGCCGGGAATCGAACCCGGACCCTCACCGTGCAAAGCGAGAGCTTTTTCCACCAGGCCACGGGTCACCGTAATAAAGCAAAAGGTGTCTATACACCAGAGATCTCTCACTAATGTCTCAGTCTCACACGATCAGGACGTATCCAGGACCAGTCTCTCAATTGTATTTACAAAGGAAGGGAGACTATTGCAATCACTTTAGTCTGAATATTTGTTCCGTCACCAAGAAAATGGATCGTTTTGTTGACACTCAAAATATCATTCTTAATCATAGAGTTTTATCTCCATCAAAAAAAAAAAAAAAAAAAACACCATCTGGCAGGCCTACATTGTTACCTTCAAGGGAAATCACCAAACCTGTTGAGGTCGTGTAGTCCTGGGAGGACTGTGAGACTTTCAGGATCGATCTAAGGGAAGAACAGGTCCGATTCCTTGATTCAGAGCCCCTGGCAGGCCTATAATAGAATGTATCTGCAGCAAAGAAGAGATCTCTGAGATTTAAATCTTTCATGAACTCTCTGCCAAAACAAAGTCTTAGACAAGGAAGAATAGAAAGGATTTCTGAAGAACGACTTTATCGTCTGTCAAGAGGAAGTACTGATCACAGGCCCCAGTAATGTAATGTGTAATGAATTTCTTGCAAAGGAAATTTGGAAACCTTCAAGTTCAAAAAGCCACTTCAAAAAATATGCAGAAATTTTCGAAAGACGCAAGAACGAGTTATGTAAAGTAAAAGGACACAAGTGCAACTAATATGACATTTTATTGTGGCAACGTTTCGCTCTCCTGGAGCTTTGTCAAGCCTTTACGGCTTGACAAAGCCGTGGCCACAATAAAATGTCACATTAGTTGTACCTGTGTCCTTTAACTTTAGATATTGTCAGTAATTCTACCAAAATATATACAAGAACGAGTTAAACTACCAGCCCAATACCTTAGTAAGTCAGCTAATTCTATTGACAAATAACAGCATATCGCGCTGTAACAAACTGACCTATACAACTACTGAAACATATCCTCCCAGTTATTTTTTTTTCTTTGATGAACGCTGTTTACCATTATTTTTAAGTTCACAGAAAAGTTAAAGAAACGTTTCTATCTGTGGTACTACAGTGTTCTGTAGCTCGGATGGTAGAGCACTTAATTCACACGTTGAGTGTCTGTGGTTCCACCACCGATACGGGTGGAAACACTGGGCTTATTTCCTTACACTTGCTGACCCTGTTCACCTAGTAGTAAGTAGGTACCTGAGTGTTAACTGACTGGTGTGGATCGCATCCTGGGGAACAAGCTTTACCCAAGTTGCGGGAAATGCTCTGCATAACCAAGGGCTTTCTATATAGTATGTCACTAATGACAGCTATAGTCTGTATAAGTTACATCATGTATTTGGAGAAATATAAATTATTATTATCATTAATATTATTATTATTGCAGCGCTTCTAAAATCCCCGCTGGTTTCAAGTCCGTATTCTGTTGCAAGATTTGCTATTGGATGCATTTTTGTTAGACTAGACACGAGACGAAGGTCATGAGAGCATGAGGTGATACTGCTGTATCGCGAGGGTAACAACTGAGGAACACTGGTGGTGGAGGCTTTTAACTGTTGATGGAGAATTTCAACTGATGGTGGCGGCTTTTAACCGTTGGTGGAGGCTTTTAACTGTTGGTAGAGGCTTTCAACTGATAGAAGAGGCTATCGTCTGATGAAGAAGGTTAATTTTCCTCTTGCCAGCCAAAAAATGGTGCTCATTGACCCTTAAACTGTCCAAGCAGATCTACGTTCACATGCGTAGTGCTCCAAAAGTAGATCTACGTTTTTTTACATATTTTCAAATATAACAAAAAAAAAGCAGATCAAAGTGTTTTTTACACGTTTTCATATGTAAAAAAAAAAGCTCTACTTTTTTACATACTTTCAAATGTTGAAAAAACGTAGATCTACGTTTGGACAGTTTAAGGGTTAAGCACTCCTTACATCCTACAATAACTAACAGTTCATAGTAACAGTTAACTGTTTAACCAATATATTTTGAGGCCAGTCGGTTTCTTCCTTAGGTTTAAAGCCAGTCGACTATAACATAGTTCATTACGGCTGCAGGTCTTCTGTATATCACCAGTAAAGAGCATGAATA